TAGCCACTACTTCCCTGCAACTGGTAGATGGGTTGAGAGAGAGCTTTTTGGATGCACTTGCAGATTTTATAATTGCGGAGAAGGAAGTAGAAGGGAGGAGAGAGGGAAGGAGAAGGGCTAGAAGAGAGGGGGAGGGGAAGAGGGATTGGTTGCCTTGGGAAAGCCATATCGATCCGCACGAGTCACTTCACAACTAATCAGATCGCAGTGTGAGGGGGTCTGATGTCTCGAAGGATTGGGAGGGGATCGGTAAGGCCTTCCTGTACGAGGACGAATGCGGGAAAGGAGAGGGAGTGAAGAGTGGTGCGGAGCAGGACCAAGATTTAGATGAAGAGAGGGAGAAAGAAGCGCGAAGGAAAGGGGATGGAAAACAGTTATGGGTTAAAGGAAGAAGGCGCAAGGGTGAAGATGTCACAGTCTGGTGGGCAGCACACACAGAGTGTGACAGAGTCTGTGTGCCCCCTACCCGACAGACTCTGTCACTGTTTGTGCACTTCCCACCACATTGTGACAGAGTCTGTCACATAGACTGTGACAGACTGTAACAGATTGTTTGACACACACACACAGACTGTGACACACTGTAACAGATTGTTTGACACACACACACACACATACACTCGGTACACTCACACACGCACACGCACACACTGACACACACACTGCAGCAGATTGTGACACACTGACTCACACGCACTGACACACACACACACACACACACACTGACGCACCCATGCACATACTTACGCACACACTACACACACACACACACACTGACGCACCCACACACACACGATACATACACACACACACACAAACTGACGCACCCACGCACACACTGACGCACCCCAAGGCCCCATAACCCCCCCAGAACCACCGCCGGCGACCGGTACCGGCCCCCGCGAACGACGTTCGCGGCCTCCAAAAACGCGTTCTCGCGAACGTGTTCGCAACCCGTTCGCCGTGCTACACAGCTTCCACCAGAATCACTGCTGAACCCATGCCTGTAGAAATCGTTATTTTAATTTCAACTGCCGCGTACCGCGCTCGTGTGTTGAAGAGCTGCGCAAATCGCCGTAGATTGGGACTGAGCCGAGGATGCGACATTTCGCGAAACTGCAAAGATGGTCGAGGTTGACGAAGTCGAGCAGAGATGGTCGAGGTTGAAGAAGTCGAGCAGAGATGGTCGAGTCTAGTGCAAAACTCATGGCGATGGCTGCGAACAGAGGGAATTAGGGAGTGAACAGAAGGCGACTTGTTCCTTGTCGCTGTGGGAGAGAGGCAAAGAAGAAGATAAAAAAGGAGTGGGATCAATAGGAGAAGGAAGAGGGCGAAGGTAGGAGATATGGTGGACGATAGGAATAGAGTTATGACTTGCGCCCGTCTCACAAGCGATGCGCACAATGTTTACCCCGTTAGGGCCTAGTTCCACTACACGGAAGCAGCCAGAAAACTTTGGTGCAAGTTTCCAATGGTGTGCACATTTACGTAGCCGCGCTAGGTCCCCTAACTTATATTATATATGTGGGCTTGCATTCCCATTTCAGGCGTCGTAGCTGCAGACTTGCCTACCATGTGCCAGTTTCGTCATCCTTTGTCACTTATGGGCTAATCTAGGGATTGCCTTTTCCATTAATTCGGCGTACCTTGTGGCCTTAGCCTTAAGAGACGCCCGCGTGTCTCTACCCGGTGGTTCGACAATTCATGAGGCATCTCGGTTAACGATACATAGGATGATATTCATCCGTAGCTAAAAGGGGGTGAGCCTTGCCGATTCGTGAGGGGTGGCCCGTCGTGAATTCCGACAATCTGATATACGATCTTGGGCCAAGGACGCGTGTCATTTACGGCGAGATTCCTCCTTAGTGATGTTTTAATCACGCGGTTTGCATTTTACGCAAGCCCATTAGACTGAGAAACATGCGGCATACTGTGTCGGAGAGTGATGCCTCTATGTGTCAGTAGCTCTTTTACTTCGACCTTGAACTCATACCCATTATCAGTTGAAATTTCTTATGTATCTTGATGGGTATTGAGGTAGCGGTCAATGATAAGATGGAGAAGGATTAGCTCACGACGCTCAAGATGGATTCGCTCCCGGGTTGACACTCATGAGTTCCCGTTCCAGGCGGCCCATCTGAGAGGTCGACGTCTGTATCAGATGATTCATCCACTCTGATTGTTGGGAGGTGGCAGAGTGGATCAGCTGAGCCAGATGAAGATTGGTGATCAGCCCTTGCATTCGCATATACGTTTGAGGCTCGATAGTGGTTACATGAGCGACCTTCGAAGAGAGAGGGAAAAAAGAGGGAGAAGCGGGAGAGGGGGTCATTCGAGGTGTATGATCCTGCGACGGTCCGTCTAGATTTTCAAGATCGTGGCCGTGATAGAACCAACCAATCGATCTTAGCCAGAATTGCCTTTTGGCAGCTGCATCTTCTATTGTATCAACTATGTGCTCTTCACCCTGATCTATGTACGTCGTATATCATGGGAATCCAATTCGAGTGCTTTCGTGATGATCTCATTCAAAGGCGTAGTTTTGGGAGGAACCTTCTTTTTCAACTTGACTTTCAAGGCCGGGTTCCTCAGATGATCTATGAACTAATCCGGAGCAACATTTTCTTCCCTTCCAGATTGATCCAAAGCTGTATGAAATCTATCCACAAATTTCGGCAATAACTTCCCTGGTTCCTAAGGACGGTTTTTCAGTACAAACCATACAGCTCCTCACTTCCCTCATCGAATCTCTTCAAAAAGGCAGTCTTGAACGTTCACCAATCTACCCACTGATGGCGCTTGAACCAATCATGAGCGAAGTTTCTTACAAGTAGCGTGATCACCCGGTGAAGATCATCCGCCACACAACCCTTAGCCTCAACTGCCTCGAACCCTGCCTTGGGATGGGGTAATTAGGATAAAATGGAAAGGTGGTTGGAATACTTACCATCACTTGGGGAGCAAGAACATTAGCGTTGTCCATGGCTGCCTCCGCTCTTGCTTCTCCTGATCTACTTCGAGTGAGGGAAGGATTCCTTCGGCTTGAACGAGCCGAAACTCGTCCTCTCGCCAACTAGTCTCCGTATTACAAGAACCGACACGTGTCAGGTCCGATACCAACCTCACGCCTTGTGCTCTCTTCCGGTCGGAGTGTCAAAAATGCGGAAAAAGGCCTTGAAAGAACAGTTAAATGGGGTGTGCGGAGGATTTTTGGGAAATTGAGTGTGGAGACAAAGACATAGCTGAGATCTCCTTGTGGTCTCAGTTTTGGCAAAAAATGCCCATTGCCACGTAGGAAAAGCGGGTGCGCGCAGTTGTCAACGTCAATCTAATCCAAAAAGTACCTATGAACTTCCATGTGGGCTACATGACGACTTTTCGAACAGAAAGGCAGGGGTACGCACGTGGGATCACGTTTTCGAAAATTAGATCCCGCCGTTGCTTGCCAGAGAGTTCAAAATCCGACGTGGAAGGCCTTAGTTTGGTTGCTTTCTTCTTGAACTCGTCCTCGCCACGTGTACAATAGTGGAACCCTTTTTTTGACAACGCTCTAGTCGGAGACAATCAATGCAGAGAGTGCTAGGCCAATGGGGTGCCACTGCCGTCCGTGGGATGACAATCAGCTCGTTGAAGGGTAATAACAAGGAATAAGGTGGAAAATTAGTATCAACAATCACAAACCCAACACCCACGAACCCAGGACACCTCGTTTTTGGAGGGAAATAATAACATCCTCTGATCTATGCGACCGCTTCTTGTACGTCCCACTCTCATACACGTGGCCTTTCGTCGTTATACGGGAACAGGCGATGTGGGGGTATGAGAGGTCGGCGCCCAGTCGGAGTTGTGTGGTCAGTCCACATGGCATAAACTCGTTACTTTTCGTTCGTCTACGCAATCCGTCATTCTATCAGCATTCGCTCGAGGGAAAAAATGACTCGGGAGAAAGCTGATTTAATCCTACCTAAATCGCATTTCATTCAAGACGTCAAAACAACAGACCAATCATACCCAAAAAAAGTGCTTATTCTTCAACCGTTTTGTACTCAATTGAGTTCGCCCAGCGAAACATCGATCGTCAAAAAGGAAAGGGGTATCCCGGGTAGACATAGGAGATCATCAGCACCTCAATCATTACCATAAACTCACACCATGCATCTCATCAAAGAAAGGGTCAGGGAGAGAAAAACAAGGTTGCATGCCCTATGTCCTCGTTAGCCTCTTAAGTTCGATGATGCTCGTCCCTACGAGATCAGGTCAAACTAAAGAGACAAGCGGGGTGGTAACTCAGATACAGACAGAAACAGGGAAGTCGTTACATCATCCAATCATTCATAGAGAGAGAGAGAGAGTGTTGACAAAGCTGTGACTTGGCCGAAGAGAACAAACACCAATACACAGGCATGCAAGGAGATCCGAAGGAGATCTGCGTCTCGCCGTGAACTTAACTTCCGAAATGAGATGAAAAAGAACGAGAAATCAAGGCGTGCAAGCCTTCTACTCTGATGCCATGGCCCCAGGCCATGCAACCACTCGTCAACGCACACACTTTCCTTACTCAGGCACTGGCTAGCCCGACCGCCACGTGCCGACATCCGTTCCACAGTGATCGTCACCCAGCTAACTTAGTCTCTACGCCGACTCGCCCAAAGCCCGCAGTTCGTCGCGGGCATACAGCGCGCAGCCTCGCAAGACTACTGTCGGCTCGTCAAGACTTTCCGACTCACTGATCATCATGTCATCTAGGCACTACTTCCATGCAACTGGCAGATGGGTTGGGAGAGAGCTTCCCGGGATGCGCTTTCGGATTTTATAATTGCGGAGAAGGAAGTAGAAGGTAGGAGAGAGGGAAGGAGAAGGGCTCGAAGAGAGGGTGAGGGGAAGAGGGATTGGTTGCCTTGGGAAAGCATATCGATCCGCACGAGTCACTTCACAGCCAATCAGATCGCAGTGTGAGGGGGTTAGTGCCTCTTTACACGCTACCGTCTGATGTCTCGAAGGATCGGGAGGGGATCGGTAGGGCCTTCTTGTACGAGGACGAAGGCGGGAAAGGAGAGGGAGTGAAGAGCGGTGCGGAGCAGGACCAGGATTCACATGAAGAGAGGGAGAAAGAAGCGCGAAGGAAAGGGGATGGAAAACAGTTATGGGTTAAAGGAAGAAGGCGCGAGGGTGAAGATGGCTTGGGATGCAGCGGGAGGCGGGGGAAGCTTACATGAATGGTGCTGACGGGGAAACAAAAAGACACCGAAACAGTTACGCTTCGTCCAATCCAACTCTAAAACTAGTTCAAGATTTGAAAAATTCAAAAGCAATATCTGCTCGCGGAATTAGACACGCAAAAGCAATATCTGCACGCGGAATTAGACACGGGAAGTCCTACGCCTATTCAGATTCTTTCGGAAAATTCATCAAGCTTCCAAGGCGGATTTGGGGACACTCATGTGCAAGAAAGAACACATCAGCGAGAAGTTTGCCCACAAATTCCGGAGCTCCCAACTGCTGAACAAAATTCAAAGGCGAGCGCAATTCCTACGTAAAGTTGAAGAAAAACAAAATTCCAAAAATCCTGAGAAAACGAAATACACTTCGAAGTAAGGAGGCCTCGGCGGCCATTGATTCCATTCATTACCCGCCAGACAAAAAGAAGGTACCCCAAAGCCCGAAAGGAAGAACACCGGGCTTCAGAACTTCGTTCAAGCACGGAAGTTGGCACGTCAGAGGTGTGCCTCTGATGCCCCATGGTGGTCTGTTTTTGACTCTGTTTACAGGACATCAAGATTGGAGAAGGTAGGTGTGCTTCTGACAGCCCATGGTGGAAAGGCCAGCAAGTGTGGGCCCCGACTCAGGGGCGTGATGGAGGTAACGAGGGAAATAGCACCAGGGGCGGTGCCACTATCCTGGTCTCACATAAGTGTAGGGGCGAGGTGGTTGACTGGCATTTGTGATACAATGGGGTGACGGACATGGGTTGTGATGCAATGGGGAAGGGAGCGGTGGGGGGTCATGATGGTATACAGCCCCTCTGACGTGGGGGAAAGGCGGAAGATGTGGGAGGTGCTGGAGCTCCTTGCTCTGGCAACAGACCAACTGGTGGTTGCCAGAGGCTTTAACACTACAGTTCACGCTGGGCTCGAACCAGTGCTCGAGAGGCCACCGGCGTCAGATGTTGGCGCCCTGCTGATGAGCATGGCAGGCCTGGGTGCATCAACGCTTTTTGCGCCACATTCCCTGAGAACAGGGAGTTCACTTGGTTCGGCCCCATGGAGAGGAGAAGGAGCAGGGTCGATATGGTCTGGCCCACACAGTCGATCTTTGACAAGGGCTGTGAACCAAGGACCCTCCTGTCGGCTGGCTCGGACCACCCCCGCTCCTATTGACAGCACCACTGGGAGCTCTGGAGATGGGAAGGGTACCTCACCCGGTGCACGCCTGGGTATTTGGGAGTCCAGAGTACTGCCAGCTGATCAAGCAGCACTGGGAGTGTTGGTATGAGAAGCAGCCACAATAAAGGACCTGAGTGGGTTTCTAAAGGGGGCAGAGTACTTGAGAGTCTATACTCTTTGAGAGGAATCCTACAGACCAGATTAGCGGCCAGCTACAGGGCGCATCAGGCCACGAGACAAGAGTACGTGACCAGAATGAAGGATCTGAATCGTGGACCCCAGGGGTCCCAGTTCGAAGAGGAGTGGTGTGCGGAGGGTTTGGAAGCAGTTCAGATGTGGAGAGAATAGATGGTGGAGGAGGCAAGTAAATGGGGCAGGAAGATGAAGGCTGCATGGTTGGTAGTGGGGGAAAAGATGATAAGGCGGTTTTTCAAAGAACTGGGTATTAAAAGGTGTGTTTCAATTATGACAGCAATGGATCACCCGTTTGACGCCACGGTGGGAAGACAGGAATCCTCAGGAGGTATCATGAGGTGTGTGGAGGACTACTATGCAAACCTCTTTGAAGAGGACGAGAGCTGGGGTCAGGATATGATGAAGGTGCAGCCCGAGCAGGAGATCTGGAAACACATTGCTACCCGCCTTAACAGGGAGAAAGCTCATGCTCTGGACCATGGTAGAGGTCCACTAGAGGAGGTGGGCCAGGCCATCCCAGACCTGCCGAGGCTTGAGGCCCTGGGGCTGGACGGGATCCCCATAGAGCTGTTTAAGGAGTTTGGGGCCCTGCTAGCCCCGAAGCTGGCACAAGCCTAAAATCAGGGCTTGGGAGCTGGGGCACTCGCATCAGGCTTCGCGGACACGTATGTGGTCCTGTTGTAGAAGGGTGATTGAGCAGACGTGCGTGATTGGCAGCCTATATCCATTTTGAACGCCGTTTACAAGATATTCGCCAAGGTGTTGGCTTCTCAATTGGGGAGAGCGCTTCCAGATATTATTCACCCTTCCCAAACGGGGTTTGTTCTAGGAAGGCAGATGGTCTCCAATAACTTACTGGCTCGACAAGTTTTGGAGAGGGTGGAGGTGGATGGGCAGCGACTGGCTTTCCGTCATGATCGATCTCGAAAAGGCTTATGATGGGGTGCGGTGGGAGTTTCTGCTCCAAAGCCTGAGGCAGAGAGGTGTGGGTGGCAGATTTTGTGGCTGGGTTAGGATGCTGCTACGTAACGCGGTCATCTTGATGCCGGTGAATGACTCCGGGCATTCGTATCTCCAGGTCGGTTAGGTAGGGCTGTCCGCTATCGCCGAACCTCAATGTGATCTACATAGGAGTGTTGCACAACATCCTGCGATATGACCACAAACTTTGCGCTATGAAGGTGGGATGAGGCAGGGAGCTAAAGTCACCAACTTTCGTGGATGACACGGGGACCATTATCCCCCCCACATGGCAGCAGCTGGAAATACTAAAGCATGACTTGGACAACATCTTCTCGAAGTATGCTGAAGCGAAAGTCAGCTGGAGGAAGTCTTGGGCACTCCTCTCCGGAGGCCTCCCGCCTCCAGCAGGATTGGACATGCACGTAGTCGAGGATGGTGAGAACCTCTGCTTTTGGGGGGCTTTCATTTCGCCGGCAGGAGAAGGTTCGGTCCAAAATTCCAAATGGATGGCCTGGCCGTGGCAACTCTCCTACGGTTAAAGCGACTTAGGAACAGAGTCAGTCTTGCTCTGTTTGGGAAAGCTGTAGTCGTCAACAACTCCATGCTCTCCACACTGAGGTACGCGGGCACCATCCATGTTCCAAAAGGACGGACCTTTAGGCACTGCAGGCGGGCATTCAATGATATCTGTGGGCAGCCAATCAGGAGGGAGAGCCTTTCATCTGGCGGAGCCTAAATTGACTCAGCCTCGGCGTGTAGGGGGATTGGGCATCATCGGTCCCAGGCTCCAGGTCATGGTGCTGCAGATGAGGAATGTGGTGTGGTTTATTATGGGCTTGACCGGTGACCTGTTGAGTGAATTGGCTTGGTCTCCAATCGCATATGCCCTAGGGCGAGCGGTAGAAGTGGTGGAACTTTGCCTTATCAGCGTGGCCATGATGTGGCATTTGAAGTGGGGAGCTGTCTAGTCTGAGCCGCTGTCCCTGTGGAAAAGAAATCAACTGGAGCGTTAGAAGTGGTGGAACTTTGCCTTATCAGCGTGGCCATGATGTGGCATTTGAAGTGGGGAGCTGTCTAGTCTGAGCCGCTGTCCCTGTGGAAAAGAAATCAACTGGAGCGTTAGAAGTGGTGGAACTTTGCCTTATCAGCGTGGCCATGATGTGGAATTTGAAGTGGGGAGCTGTCTAGTCTGAGCCGCTGTCCCTGTGGAAAAAAAATCAACTGGAGCGCAGACTCCCCTCCTCTGCTGATGAGGTTTTCGACCAGTTCTTGTTTGACAACCCGTGCATCCGTAACGACGAGGCTGACCCCTTCCCATGGCAGGGAAAGGGAGCCTACGGGCGGCAGTGGGGGGAATTCGGAGTGTACAAAGTGGGCCATCTATGGAATGAGGAGGCGGGCTGTTGGTGGGATAACAAGGAAATGGCACACTGCCTGCCACACCAAATGTGGGAGAACGGGTGCTTAGATGAACTGCAAAGGGCGGTGCCCACGAGGTGGGTTGAGATTTTGAAGAGGGGGGAGATTGGAGTAGGGGAATGGGTTAGAAAAAGGGGAGATACAGGGTAGTAAAGGTGGAGGATGCAAGGATCAATGGCTTGGGAAGTGCCTACTGGGTATGAGGGACTAGCTGCCCCGCTTAAGCCCAAGCTAGGGGGGACCCTGGCACTCTCTGATGTGGAGAGTATCGGTCTGTGAGGACGGGAAAGAAGGAAGATGGGCTGGTGGATACAGGCCACTCAGAGTTGCGAGGGCCCGATGGGCCTTGACTTGTACCTGCAAGACTGAGTCTGGCCAGCTCAAAACTGTAGTAAGAAGAACATCCCGCTGCACCAAGTCACCACCAAGGTGATGTACAGGTCACTTCTGTCTAGAGTTGACATCAGGGGAGAGCTGTTACAGCACTGGGCCAAGAGGGACTGGCTGCCCACAGCCCATATCGCGAGATGGACTCCAGGAGCATGGAGGGAGCAATGCACCCTGCTGAAAGCCCTGCCAGACCAGAAGCAGGCAGGCCTTCTATGGACCATCTATCACCTTGGCCATACCTACAGCCGAATGGCAAGCACTGAAGAGTCAGCACCCTGATCAAGTGTGTGCGGCTGGCTGTGGCCAAGTGTAGTCTATCCCTCACCTGTTTGTGCAATGCCCAATTATTCAGCAGTTTTGGCAGTGGTGGGCCGGAGTGATGGCAGACCATACCCCTTTGGACACATCAGAAGAAGATGTCGCATTTATCCTGCAGGCAGCAATAGTCAAAGTGGTGAAAGAGGAAAGGCCTAGTCTGCATGCAATGGAGGTGATCTGGTGTTGCATACCGGTGCAGACCAGAACAAGAACCGACCTCTCAATACAAAGTACAAGATAGCGTAGCGGAAGACTTAGATACCAATGATCCGAGCAATCAATATTGCAATGCAGCCCCAAACATACATCATCGTCATCATCACTCCATGGTGTGAAGGGGTCTGGCGCTCACACAGGAAGAATGCGCAGCCCCAACCATACACAGACGAAGAAGAGGGGGGTTAGACGAAGAAGAGGGGAAGATGGGAATGTCGTCAACACCAAGTCTTCGGCACAGGCCCAAATAGTCCCTCGTCAAAATGTCTGAATCCCAATGTCGAGTCTGGATCCAATGTCGTCAAGTCTCAAGTTACAACTCTCTCTCTGTCGTAGTCCACTGATACTGAGAAGTCAGGTGGTGAGAGGGTGAAGAAGAGATGGTGGACTTAGAAGAGGAAGAAGAAGAACTCTCTCTCTCTCTCTCTCTCTCTCTCAGTCCGGTACTAACCTGTGAAGCTGGCGCCTTGATGCAGGTACCTCGAAGATGGAGCTGGAGCTATGGCGCCACAGGTAAGTCTCGCTGGCCTCCGCCAGCCATCTCTCTCCCACACTACTACTACCACCTACTAGCACCCAGCGCTGAAGACTACTGCTATGGCTACTAGCGCCCAGCGCTGAAGACTACTGCTATGGCTACTAGCGCCCAGCGCTGAAGACTACTGCTAGCTCTAAGCTACTCCTGGCAGCGCTCCTCCTGAGTGCTGCGGCCGAATCTTGAAGACTACTCGTGCCTACTGTCCAACTACCTCCCTGTGAAGTGCATGGGAACTTCCTATGTACTACTCGGGTGCCTCCTGACTGCAGGGTGAGGCGGTCCAGGAGGCTGCTCTTGCCAATGCCANTAGACGAAGAAGAGGGGAAGATGGGAATGTCGTCAACACCAAGTCTTCGGCACAGGCCCAAATAGTCCCTCGTCAAAATGTCTGAATCCCAATGTCGAGTCTGGATCCAATGTCGTCAAGTCTCAAGTTACAACTCTCTCTCTGTCGTAGTCCACTGATACTGAGAAGTCAGGTGGTGAGAGGGTGAAGAAGAGATGGTGGACTTAGAAGAGGAAGAAGAAGAACTCTCTCTCTCTCTCTCTCTCTCTCTCAGTCCGGTACTAACCTGTGAAGCTGGCGCCTTGATGCAGGTACCTCGAAGATGGAGCTGGAGCTATGGCGCCACAGGTAAGTCTCGCTGGCCTCCGCCAGCCATCTCTCTCCCACACTACTACTACCACCTACTAACGCCCAGCGCTGAAGACTACTGCTAGCGCTAAGCTACTCCTGGCAGCGCTCCTCCTGAGTGCTGCGGCCGAATCCTGAAGACTACTACTGCCTCTGTCCAACTACCTCCCCGTGATGGGAACTCCCTATGTACTTCTCGGCCTGCCTCCTGACTGCAGGGTGAGGCAGTCCAGGAGGCTGCTCTTGCCAATGCCGCAGGGAGTCAGGGGCTGCCGCTGCAGCTCCTGCTTGAGGCTGTCGTGGGAACAGGCTAAAGATAGCCTGTTCCCGAAACCCTGGTTTTGTGCCTGAGTGTTAGGGTAGGTCGATCTTATGAGGGCCCGAAAGTGGCCCTCCGTTTCAGGCTGAAAAGCCTTAGGGCTGAAAAGCCCTGTTTTAGGCTGAAACGACATAGGGCCTGCAGGCCCTCGTTTTTCAGTCTTTCAAGCTGAAACGACAGGGGCCTGTAAGCCCTTATTTCTAGGCTTTTAGGCTGAGAATGCGGGACGGGCCCTGCAGGCCCGTGTGGCTACGCAGTATGCCACCCCCCCCCCTCCTTGAAAGACCGAGCTTACCTGCGAGGGCGAAGCCGTCTGTCTGAGGGAGGGACCACAGTCGGGGTGGGAGGGGCAGGTCGTGAAGTTCCCTGAGCTAACCTTTGTCGCTCGTAGTGAGCGTAGATCAGCGGTGCGGATGCTTTCAAATCTGTTCCTGAAATCCACCGAGTGTCGTCGGGATCGCATGCTCTGAATGTAACCTTGTACTGGTGAGGCTTGCTGCCATACTTGCGATCCGTGATGATGCGGTCAACCTCCTGATGACCATCCATAGAAGGAGGGTCCTGCGATCGTCGGCCTGGGAAGTCGTCGCTCTTAGCTGGTGTATATGATGCCAGCTTCGAGGCGTGAAAGACTGGATGGACCGTCAGATGCGTCGGGATGTTGATCACAAATGAAGGGCCATCGGGCTCATCGCCCGCGGCTGATGTTACGGGCCATGGTCCAAACCACTTGGGAAACAGTTTGCGTGAAACATCCTGTTCCAGTGCAAACTCTTCAGCGGAGACCCAAACCAGATCACCGGCGCGGATGGGACATGGCACGCGACGCCTGTTGGCTTGCTGCTGCATGCGGACTTGAGCCTTTTGCATGTTCGCGCGGGCTTGAGCCAGCAATTCCCTGTACTTCTGGACGGAAGCGGAAGAGCAAGCGGCGTCGATGTCGGCTGGTCGTGGGAGGAGAACGTCGGCGAAGATACGGCCTTTCCGTCCACCGTGGTGCAACTCGAATGGAGTCACACCGATCGCCGGGTGCACCGAAGTGTTGTAGGCGAACTCGATGTTGGGAAGGCGGTCAACCCAATCTTTCTGGTCCGGATGGATGAGCGTACGAAGCATCATTTGAGCGGTTTGATGTGCCCGCTCCGTTTGCCCGTCCGTCTGTGGATGCCGAGCCGAACTTGGTTTCATCTTCGTGCCGGACTCCTGCATGAGAGCAGTCCAAAATGCCGACATGAAGCGAGTGTCGCGGTCGCTGACTATGTCTTCCGGTACACCGTGGCCACAGTTCCAACCGGTGTGCAAGAGGCGTGCCAGCTCGGGAGCCGTGGAGTAGTACTTGCAAGGGAGAAAACGCGCATACTTACTCAAACGGTCCACAACCGTGAGGATGCCGTCGTGCCCGAGACGATCGTGGGGAAATGGTCCGGTGACATCCATGGCAATGGAGAGGCCGGGTTCCCGTGGGATAGGCATCGGACGCAACTCGCCGTAGGGATTGCGATTGCGGGGCTTGCTTCGTCGGCAAACTTCGCAAGAGTCGCAATACCGAGTGACATCGGTAATGAGGTCAGGCCATCGGAATCGTTGTCGAAGCCGTGCAATAGTGCGGTTGACTCTGAAATGGTCGGCGAGTCGCGAGTCATGGTACTCCCAGAGAAGGCGAGTCCGAAGACGACGGTCTCGTGGGACACACAATAAGTCCTTGCCTCTCGAGTGGAGGAGCAAGTACCCGTCGGCAATGCGATAGTGGCTGGCCGGCGGGTGATCCGAAGATAGCTGCGCATACAACGTGGCGAAGTTCGGATCAGACTCATAGCCCCGGATGAAGTGTCGCTGAAGTTCCTCGTCGAATGCGAAGGCATGATGTGTCATAGCGCAAAGATCAGGTCTTCGCGAGAGTGCATCTGCTACGCGATTGGAGAGGTCGGGAAGATGTTTCGGTGTGAAGTCAAATTGGTCGATGAAGTACATACATCGTCCGATCGTGTTGCTCACTGTATCCTGCGTCTTGTAGTAAGTCAGTGGGTTGTTGTTCGTAACCCATGTGAACCTACGACGCCCAAGGAGGAAGTGCCGCCATCGCTTGAGAGCCATCACGAACGTGAGCAGCTCCTTCTTCCTTGCATCATCAAGCGAGTTGATGGGAGGAACTTTGTGGCTGAAATACTCCACAGGGTGCCAGTCGTCGCCGTCGTGTTGTTCCAAGACTGCCCCAATGCCATAGCCGGAAGCGTCAGTTGTCACTCTCGTAGGCAGGGTGGGGTCATAGATGCTAAGGACGGGTGCCATGAGCATGGCCGTCTTAAGTGCTTGGAATGACCGGCGTGCGTCGTCATCGAATACGAATGGCACCTTTGGCGATTGTAATCGCATCATAGGTGCAGCAATCCTTGAGTATCCGGTGATGAATCGCTGATAGTAGCCCGCCAACCCATGAATGAACGAACGTCCGTGGTGTTGGTGGGCTCGGGCCATACGCGGAGGGCCTCGATCTTGTCCGCAAGCAGACGGATGCCTTGCAGCGTCACATAATGTTCCAAATACTCCAGCTCCTGCCGCGCGAATTCGCATTTGTCGCGGTTGGCTTTGTACTTGGCTTGTCGTAGCCGCTCCAAAACGGTGTGGAGGTGTTCCACATGCTCGTCCAAACTCCGGCTGTACACCAGGATGTCGTCGAGGTAGATAAGTACGAATCGATCCAGCATGTGTCGGAACTCCGTTGTCATAGCCGCTTGGAAAGTGGCCGGGGCATTCATAAGGCCAAATGGCATAACCAGCCATTCGAAATGCCCATATCGCGTCTTAAACGCGGTCTTGTAGCGGTCCTCCTTCCGAATCTCGAGTTGGTGATATCCCGACTTGAGGTCCATGGAAGAGGGCCGGTGTTTCTTATCGTTTGTGCGTTGAGCTTGCGATAATCGATGCACAACCGCAAATCCTTGTTCTTCTTCCGGACGAAGAGAACAGGAGCACCGTATGGCGATGAGCTAGGCCGAATCCAGCCTTTCTCCAGAAGGTCGTCGAGTTGTGCCCGTAGCACACTTAACTCTTCCTCGCTCATTCGGTAGATGCAACCTCGCGGAGGTACGGCCCCGTCCTCGAGGATGATCTCGTGGCGGATGGGCCGATCCGGTACTACTCCGTGCGGGCCTTCGAACACGTCGCCGTAGGCGTCGAGAAGCTCGGTGATGCGTGGGTCCGAAGATGAGTCCGTCGATGAAGCGTCAAGGGGCGGGAGGGCGTGGAGAAAACACACCCCCATCTCCTCGATGTCGTCTCTAATGATGGAAGCTCGCATGCTTGCGGCGGACACCACGTGGCAGCTGATCGAAGGGTAAGGAGGAGCTACCGTGCATGGGACTAGTACTCCGTTTCGATCACGAACGTGAACGGTGCGGCGGTAAAAGTTCACCGGGTGATCCTTGCTTCGCAGCCATGACATGCCCAAGATCATGTCGAATTTGGTGTCCAAGATATCGAAGGACACCGCCTTGCTTGCATGCAGGGCAAAGTACACTGGGAGGTCATCAATGCACCGGTCGATTGACTTGTGCGTGTGACTGTCTGCCAACGTGACTTGCGTCGGTTGGGACTTCCTCCGGACGCGTGGGCCAAGGCCGGCGCGTACCATAAAGTCCTGGCTCATGTAGTTGCGAGATACTCCGCAATCGATCAAAGCGCTGCAGGTCGCCTCTCCGATCTGAATGCGTACATATAACAATGGTGCGTCGATGTCGTCGTACCGTTGCGTCTTGAACTCGCGGTCGATCTTCGCAATGTAGGCGTGAAGGTCGACAACCTCTACTCCGGCATCCATCAACAGAGTTGGTACTGCAGTGTGCAAGTAATCCCGCAATTGTGCCATGAGCACGTTGCAATGCGGTTTCGACAATCGACCGGACCGGGGAAGGGGCATC